GCCAAAAAAAGCCTGATGACTGCTTGTAATAMTCTGTTATTTCAGTGTAATAGCAGGCATAGAATTCTTTGAGGTATATAGTCCCTTCTTATATATGAAGGTGCTTCGAATCAGAGGCATATGGCAGCGCTATGCAAAAGTTTAAGATTATCATGCCCCAAGTGTGTTCTTGTAAAAATTTGACATGTGAGTTGCTTCAAATCAAAGCAGCAAGACTACCTTTGGATACACGTACATCAGGTTTTCAAAATCAGATCGGAACTTATGAAAAATATTTTCAGTTGAAACTACCAGAAAATCTCAGGCAAGCAGAAAGTAGACAGAAAGAAATAGTGCTGGCATATAACTTTTAAGTAAAATTTATAAAATTTATAAAATAACTTTACTGTTCTCAGGACCATTAACAATCATAAATGATCAGAACCTCAATTTGCTTCTCATCTGAAAGATAAATTACTTTCCTCTTTCAGAGTTGCTGGAGTCTTAGTGGCTTTGAGTTGCATAATTTATTTATGTGTCAAAATGTAAATTTAACAACTTTTCTTTAGACAGATGTCTTTAGARGTGATTCCCAAACTTACACAGAAGTTTCTTCATGTTCCACATGCTGTCACATCTAGGAAAAAGGAAAATACATATACAACATAATAAGACTCCACTTAATCATTGCTTTCCACAAAGGTAAAATGTAATCCATTTTGAATATTATGATTGCTTCTAGCTCTTGTTGGTTTAAATTAAAAGGATACTGCCAGAGTGCAATTCTGAGCCAGGTCAGCGTTGTCTGGGCAACAGCTTTGGAGAGTGATTGAAATCCTTTATGGGGATAAGGTGAGAGGGCTCAGTCTGAAATATTGCAAGAGTATTGTCATTCCTGCCATTTTAACATGTCCAGTCAAGGTGGGCTTTATCTAATAAAAAATTCCTGGGTGATGCAGTGTGCCAGTCAAGCAGTGACTCATCATGTCTTATCTGAATCCAAACTCCTGTCTTCAGCTGATGAAAATCACTGGAAGCCTATTGCATTGAAAGAATCTTTCAATTTCCTCYAGCTATAGATGTAGCTCTAAACCTGGCTGAAGCCTGCTTTACTTCTATAAGAAAAGTATGGCTTATAATGAACTTGGACATCATTAGATGCAAGGCACTATTAGTAATTATTTTTAATAATGCTTGAAATTACTTGAATTACATAGTTCAGCCACTGGTGAAAAACAATGAGTGCTCTGATGTTACAAAAAGGTTAAAAAACAAAATCAAAGAATTGAGAGGAGCCCGTTTTGTGAAATCCTAAGCATGGTTTTGCTTGCCTCTCCCTACTCAGAGAAGTGAACACCTGAGTAGAGAAAGAACTTCAGAGAAACAAACTGAGGGTTGAAACTGGCCTTGGAGTCTCCTGAAAGACAGATGGAGCCTCTGGAAGCCTCTGGAAGCAGTCACTCATGCTGAGCTATGGGATCACCTTTGTAAGCCATGGGGCTCCTATACTGGGACCTCTGGGAGTGGCAGAAAACAAAGTCCAATCCTGATGTCTCACAACTTGTGGGCGAAGGAAAGGGTGGGGGGACATCATGTATGTGCTCTCAAGATAAAAAGAAAAATGAATTCTTTCCATTACCATCATTCATCTTGAATGAACAGGAGAATTCTTCCTCGATCCCTTAAAGGACACCCTTGAAAGAGGATGAAGGATCGGGGTCCTTAAGTGTATGCATTTCCTACACTAAAGAAAAATATGTGAACAACACATTTTTGTAATATTAAAAAAAAAATTAATATGATTTAACAGGCAGGATATATTTGCTGCATGATTTTTACTTTCTCCACATAAAACTGCAGAAATTTTAGAGAAGCTGCAAAATGAGTAAAGCCTAATATTTTTTTTCTACTGGAGTGGCTGAAACATTCCGTGAAAAATTATCGGAAAATGACAGTTATGAGGGTTTCCTTTAGTTAACTGACTTAGCAGAAATAATGGTTGTATTTTTTATTATGGTGCTTATTTGGAAGGTATAACTGCATTTTCATGTTTTATTGAAGCCCTGTCAGCTCAGATGGCRCATCTTTGTTTCAAGAGATCCACTGAGAACGCTTCAGAGTGGAACAATAACATTTGGAAAGGTTTTATTGCATTAATAGCTGTGTCACAATTACCATAACAGGCAGCTATGTTTTTTATGATAGCTATAATAAATTATGAGCACTGAGGCAGGAAAACTGTTTCTCCTGTTCTGAAAGAAGCAGTTACCGTTGTTTGGGAAGGATTCACCAGCAAATATCTGCAAAGTACAAACTAATACTGTTTTTTTATATAGTTTCTTGGTACTAGACTATTACAAAACAAAAAGTTTTCAAATGCCCAGTTTTGCTGTAGAATAATATTCAAAATTATAGTCTTTTGGCTCTTTCAGCCCTTTTTTTGTGGCACTTTTGACTTGATCCCCAAAGCTGAATTTTAAAAGTTGTTGTGTGCTCTGAAAATTAATTACCAAAAATGACTCAAACTAGGTTCTTAGAAAGATAACTATCTAATTTTTTTTTAAGTTTAAGCCATGTACTTTGAGTTATTACTGTGTAACTGCTGGACATACTGAAAGAACAGTGTTCATTATACCACTAGCAAATAGAATACATTAATCATTTAAATATTATTAAAATAGCACAATATATTGCTGCTTTTTTCAGAGGATATTCCTATGAGATAATGCAAAGCTATTAGATTCAGCATAACAACCAAAAAATGTTAATTGTGAAAGCAAATGTTCCTTCAGCTTATCATTTTTTACTTATTGCAAAGCACTATGGAAGTGCTATACAGAAGGATTTTTTTTTTTTGTTTGTACCTCAATTCTAAAAGTAATTAGGTTTTGTTTTTGCATTGAAGGGGGAGTTATATAAGCCACCATMCAGCATTAAAATCTTTCCATTTATGTGGTATTACCTAGGTAGATAAAACGAGGTATTAAAAATTATTTCCTTTGTGCTGATGTGCTGTTTGAGCTTTATGATACTCAACTAGGAATGGTACTGTATTTTAAGCCTTAAACAAAATCTTGGCTTCCTTTCTGAATCCTTTTGCACTCCAGGGTGCATCCTTTGGATGTATCATTTTGAGGTATTTTCTCTTAAATAACTTATCAAATTAGTGTTTGAAGAAGAAAATGTTAGCATCAAGCTTTTACTCAGCTTCAGTCAGAACGCTTAAGTGTGAGAAGAGACAGCTCAATCTTTTTTAACCCTATGCACTCTGGATTTTTATGTCACTATGAATAAACCAGCACCTTCTCCCTCTGCTTCTTCTCTGTGCTATGGGCTGGTAACCTGGCCAAATTTGGTCACCAAAACCCCCTATATATTAACAGTTTCAAGTTTTGCGTGGAATCCAGATACTAAGTCTACATGAGGGCCTTGAGACAAACTCTAGAGTCACTTAGTTGAATTTTGCAGTTTTACATAAAAGGTTGTGTTTGCCATGTAGCTGGAACAAATAGCCAAACATAAACTTTGTTGTTCCATGCTTCCTGTAACAGGATCTACAAATACATATTCAGTTGCTTTGCATCAATTACTATATGTTCCATTAAGTTTTCTCTAGAAAGTAAAGAAGCAGATCAATGACAGAGCAGCACTCTGCAATATTTTTAGGGCATGAGAAGACTTTAAGTTCTTGAGCCTTGCTCAAAGCTTTGTGGTCTGTAGGGACTCATTTTCTTCTCAGATATTCAAATTCAGATGCCCCTTTTCAAAGCCCTGATTTCCCTGTTTCTTTTGAAGTGGAATTGTAAAAATGCCTTAAAAATAAATTTTACCAAGCCCAGATTTTGGCTAGCATCTTATCCAAAGCTGTTCCCAAACCAATGCCTATGCAGCTAATCAAAAATACTTATGGTGGACATTTGGTGAGGTGAAATTTGTAGAATTATAYATATTAGAGGGACTTTTACACTTACACAGAAACACTTGGAGAGCAAACAGAATTTCTCACTTTCCCAAACTGACATGGATTTTGGATATGGTCTACGAAGAAGAATAATGTTCATATGCACAAAGTTAATTGTGTGCCTCTTTTGAAGAAGAAAATGAAGAAGGGACTTGAAACTACAGGAAATGGGTTTAGAACATTTAAATACTGCTCTTTCAGCATTGTACAGTTAGAAATTTGAACCTTTTCCCTTTTACTTGTGGAGGGTTAACAGCCAGTCACTCCTCTGTCCCTGCAGCCAGCATGTCCAGAATAAAGGAGATGCTGAAAAAAAAGAAGGCTGTGGCCAAACTGAAGCAGCACTATAGGAAGCAACTTAATTTAGGTTTGTGTAAGAAAGTTCAGGGTTGTTAGCTGGATACAAAACTAGGAGAAAGTGTTCTGCATCGTRTGAATGTGAACATCAGTGTCTGTCCCAGATTTGCTTAGAGAGATATCAAGTTATTTCCTTCATTATCCTGCTGTCATTTTAGCATGGGCCATGTTACCACGCCCTAAACAGGACTGGCTTCTCTAAGCATCTCTAATCCATTTTGACAGTACTTGTGTTAGTTGGCAGCAGCACAATGTCTTGGCCAATTAACTTCTGTTTTGAGAGGGTGGGTGAACGGTGTGAAATTCATCCCCAGGGTGGAATATGCTTCAAAGTGCAATGCATGACAAAACTGCTGTCAAAAGACCAAACAGGTAAGGAGACAGAAAGAAACAAGGTGGATGAAGGAGCTAATGCTCAGGAAACTGGACTGGTGTAAAAAAGGAAGAGGTGATAAAAGGGTATTTTACAGTTCTGCATGCCACGATTAAAGAGTCAAACTGAGAACAGCAACAGTGGCACAGAAATCCTGGTGGGACAAAGACAAGAATGAAATATTGCTGAGAAACACCAAGAGGTCTCACTAAAGCCAAGCCACGCTGGCTCTCCCTTTTCATCAGCAGTCAGGGAAGCACCAGTGCATTGTGCCTGAAAAGCTCAGAGTAAAAAAGCCTCAAGCRTAACCTGTCCTATGTTTTATTTTAGGATTTTTTCAGCAAATCTGATCCTTTTCTGGAGATTTTTCGGGTGAATGAYGATGCAACCCAACAACTTGTTCACAGGACCGAGGTAATGAATAGAGCTGTCCTTTCCAAGGACATAGATGGGCTGTCAGGAGGAATAGTTTATGCTTCCCATGTCACAAAGGGAGGTGTTTTTAGATGTGGGTGTGCAAACACCCAAAAGTGTTCAAAAACACTTCCTGGTGTTACACTCTAGTGTAATTACTAATAACTGAATAACTGAAGCCAAAGATCCACATGTAATTAAACTGGCAGATATTCTGTTGGAAGGTCAAGAGTTATAAATATTAGAATTAGCCATAACCATGCTACAGACTGTGTTGTATTTTGCTGTTGTAACTGTTTTGCACCTTCTATATCTCCCCTCGGGTTTCTGGTGCCAAAGAGATTTGTAATCTKGGTGCTTTACAATTGTTTCTTGTGACCCAGTGACATTACTGCTTAATGGTAATGACTGTCACTTTAAAAAACAGCATTTAGGTCTACAGGATGGAGCTGTGGCATGTGTTAGGGGTTATAAGTCTGTTATGGATTCCATAAAGTTTTCCTAGCCTACATGTGCCTGTAAATTGAGGTTACCCATCCCCATTACCCAGTCCTGCATCTCTTCCATGGCTCCCAGTTCAGTTCCACAACCTTTCCCTTGTGAGTTACCCTCCCACTGAGGCAGTGCTGGAGCAATCTCTGTAGCAGATCTGTGTATGGTTCCATTTGCCACTTGAGCTCCTTTGGGGGCTTTCCAGAGGAGGAGTGTTGCAAACTGCAGGTTGCTCAAGGGCTTGTATTTCATGGATGTTGTTCTGAAAGCTCCAGCTGAGCTCTGCTTTTTTCTCTTTCTGTATTGAGAATTGTGGCTCTTGTTAGCATTCTGCTGGGAGATGTGGAAATGCTAAAGGTTCTCTTTCTTTTCACTCACAGGTTGTGATGAATAACTTAAATCCAGCATGGAAGACTTTTAAAGTGTCTGTAAATTCTCTGTGCAGTGGAGACCAGGATCGCAAGCTAAAGGTCAGAAGTAATTCCCACCTTTTTAAAAGATTTACTCACAGAAAACAAAAGTTTTTCTCTCTTTTTCAACTGTAGATTGCTGTTCTGTACTTCTCTCTTCTTTGATGGAAAAGATGATCACAAAGCTGCTTTGATTACCATAATCAAATTAAGGAAGCAGAGAAGTGGTAACCCACTGTAATCAAYAGATTATGCTCTATATTTCTTACAGTAATCTCAAAAAATGATGGGGCTGTTTTTCCTAGGCAGTTGCATAATTTGAATCCATTATCATTTAACTGGTGAAAGTATACTYAAGGGAAGTGGTAGCCCTACCACAATTTTAACTACTATTTCCTCACTTCTATATCTGGAGACCTCCTGTAAAAGAAACAGTRAAATATRAGATTTTTTTATTATACTTGAAGAATAGTGTGGCCACAAAAAGACACGTACCATAGTAACAAAAGTGTGTCTAGAAAGACAGATGATTGGGAACTTGGTGCTTTGTGTAGAAAAAAATCATCTTCTTTTGACTAGTTTGGGTTAAATCAAGGATTTATCCAATTGTTTATGTCTTCTGATCAGGTTTAAAGTTAATGCTAAATCTAAAAACATCAAACAACAAGCATCAAACAACAAYATCARTCCCCAGTGTCTATTCAGACTCTTSRATGTGATGAAAAGACACAAAAGTATGACTACTTCTTTTTCCCTTTTTCTTAGCATACCAACTTGCCTAATAGAATTTTATTTTGTTCCTGCAAACATTTATTCTTTCATTATTACAGCTGCAAAACCCTGCAGAAAGAATGTGGCCATTATTCACTCACTGCATACTGCAAGATGTGCTATGCAAATAGAAAAAATATKATGCTAGTGTGGATATGTTGCAATGCATGTCACAGATGTGTGGAAAGGGTTAAAAGGCATCTTATGAATGCTTGGATTGTGGTTTATAACCTCACAAAATTAGCCCTGTTATTATGAAACAACAGAAATTTAAGAGAAGAGATTTAAGATCAGATTTCTGCTACTTGAAATGAAAAGCAGAATTKTCACAGCGCTGCCTTCATCACATTGTGTACATGTGGCCTTTACATCACTTAGGTGAGAAAACCTAGGAAGAGAAACAAACAAAATGTGAAGTGTAGAATGTGAGAACGAGTGGCAAGACAATAAGGATACAGGAATGAAGTTCTGCAGGGAGAAAAATGCTCTTATCTCTTTGAAATTAAGGTGAGAAGATATGAATAAGGTTGAGATGTCGATGAAGGAGAAGAAGGGTAGAAGATGGCAGAAGAAGATGGGTCTGGGAATAAAGGTGGCCTTTTGAGTTATGAGCAGAGACAGTAGTAAAAATTGTTTGCAGATGAACTGCCAAAAGAGAGGCTGAAAAGGGAGAAGAGGAGCAAGAATAGTCCCTTAGGACTGTCTGTAGAGAAGATGAGGGAAAAGTTATTGAAAGAAGGCCTGAAGAAGAAAAGCAGGRCAAGATGGGTCTTATGATCCTATTGAGAATTTTCAAGACAGTCTCTTTTTTTTCCATTTTTTGGGAGAATACAAGCTTTTCCTTTGTGTATGCAAGTGTTTGTAGCCCTGCTTTAGATATCTGGGTATTTGCCTGAGGCTGCAATTCATTTGCAGAAAAGCTAAAAGTACTAAAATTTGCATCTGATCATTGATGAGTACAGGAATATTTTAAAACTAATTACAGCTGTAGAAAAAAAAAAAAAAAAAAAAAAAGGTTGATACTTATTTCAAATTCAGGCCCTTTATAACTTTTGGTAGGTGTAAGATAAGGCTTTTATGGTGGAGCAGCCACCCAAATCACTTGTATTTGAGAGACAGCATAAAATACTTGTCATTTAATTATTTGCTTCTTTTCTATGTGATCTGTGACCTAGGAATTGGATGGCAGAKAGGGCAGAAGAGTGAAAATGATAAGACTTAGAGAGATGAAGTGTCTGTGACAGGTATAGCACTGTATGGATGTTTATACTTTGATTTACTTTGATTTCACTTTGATTGGTTAAGCATTCCACTCCTTGTGTTATCGTATTTTGGAACATTTGACTTTAGTTGCTTTGTTTCACTTCATAAAGTTTATGGCAATATGTTACTGCTAAGTGTTGGAAGAGTTCCCTGTGCCTTGTTTAATGTGGGGGAGATTGAGTGTGTTCCAGCTGCCTTGCTGAGCAGCAGCTTCTTGCCAAGATTGTTTGATCACTGTGAGCAATAATTGCATAAGGCTGGGTAGTTTTTTGTCTCCTCCTGCTGTTAAATTTTAACATCTCTGGAAAGCATAGTCTAAGTTAAGGCTTAAAGAGAAGAAGAAGAGCTTAGAGGGAGTTATCAGCTTGTGGAAATCCTTACCTGCAGACACCTTGCACTTGTGACTACCTTTGGCTTGCCTCTGAAGGCTTTTTGGAGCCCTGAAATCCCAGCCCTTCATCTCTGCCACTGAAATCATGGGGGTACTGAGCTTTAGTGGTCAGATTTTTGTTATGGGGAATGAGGATTAACATGGGAAAAGTACTCTAAAACAACTCACAGAAAGGCATTCAGCTTGCAGGAGGTTTGCTCTTCGTAAGACTTGAACCCAAAGCAGTCTTTACACTGCCTGGGCATTTGAMACTTTCTGGTTTAAAATGTCTGTTCAGAAAGATAAGATAAGCAAAGTCACTAAAATCAAAGCAGCCAAAGTTAGGGTATGCYTCAAAACTCCTTTGCTAGCATTCTTTACAAAGTCTGTTAATTTGAATTCCTTAYGGGCTTTTAAGAAAAAACTAATTTTGCTTTATTTAGCTGTGGTGCGGAAAATAATGAACATTTTATTCCTCTCAGGATGCCTTGTAAAACTTTATTACAATTATTGCTGCTCTAGGTTTTATTATGAAAATGATATATTAGATTTATGAACCTACCGAGCTTTTCTTCCCAGACATTGAAACCATCCAGGATGTCTGATCACACTTCWGTGCCAATCATACTTTCTTTTAATGCTAAGAAGACAGACAATTAGTGTGTGCATTGAAGTGAACAAAATACCTCTTTGATCCAAAAGTAGTGCATTGCTTTTCTAATATGTAGAGAGGTTCAGATCATAACAGTAACTGCTGACAAATCTGAGTGAGGATTGTACTYGTTCTGAGGGCAGGTGCTATCCTAATCTCTTGTGCTGAAGATCCTGTAAATKGGGAAACTTTGGCATTCGGGTCTGGTTTCAGCATGTGAGGGATGTTGCCACCAAAAGTTTGTCTGAATTAGAAGCTTGTATTGTGGGTATTTCCTGGTAGGGATTATCTACTGCCCACCCATTCTAGTTGCAGGATTCCTCTTTTTTCCAGGGAAGTCCTGGGAATGTGCACAGAAAACTAATCTCTTTTTGTTTTGTTGCTAGATGCTGTAATACTTGGGAAATTAAAGCCTAACAAGGTAATCGTTAGGCAAAGGCCAAACAGGGCATATGGCATACCATACTTCTATCTTCTGAGGATGTATGGAGAACTTTACCAAAGACATTCTGTTCACAAGGAAAAATAGGAAAGCAGGAAAAAAAAAAAAAAAAAAAAAAAAAAAAAAAACTGGAATAAAACTATTGCTGAGGTGAAGTGATAAGCTGCAAGGAGAGTGGGAAGCACATGTCATATCTGTACAGAAAGCCCTTTCCATCTTCCACCTACACACGGGAAACTTTCAAAAAGAGAAGGTCCATTAGATATTTTTCTATCTTTTAAAATCCATTAGATATCTTTCTATCTTTTAAAAGCCATGAGATATTTTTCTACCTTTTAAATGTCTGTMTGTTGCACCTGTATCAATGCTGTCAGATTGTTCATTTTATGCCTGCATAACCCAGGTTATGGACGATGATCCCGATGCAATTGGTGCGTGTGCAGCTGTGAGTGGGACATCAGCCAGGGTTTCCAGAGCTGCTCCATACTTTAGGGTATAAAGCCTCTGTGTGTGTGTGTGTGAATGGCTCCTCGCAGTCTGGAGCCCCCAGACAGTACTGTTGCTTTCTTCTGGTAACCATGGGAAGGTTGCTTCTTCCTGTGCACTTCTAATGAGGTTAAAACCCAGTTCTGCCATTATTCTCTATTTTCTTTTATCTCTATTATCTTTTATCTTTTATCTTTCTTTTATCTCTTTTATCTTCTTTGACTCTGTCCATTCGAGCTGTTGGAGTAGCTGTGGCTTAGCTCATGAGTTTTATGCTTGGTTTTCTGCTGAGGAGTCTATTTTCTTATGCTTGTAATCCCCAGTGTATCCATGATGCTCTTAATCCTAGTAAGGTGCACTCAGGWGTTTAAAGGTCATGTGATTTTCAATTTATTTCCATAGTAAGACCTTGATAAATGGATCCATTTTCAAAATATGCTCAAGGGAAGTGACAGCTCTGGCAAAATTTTCATAGACCATGAATTTTCTACCTTTTTTTTTTTTTTTTTTTTTTTTTTNGGTCATTATTAACAAGGTCTTCTTGGGAGATCTGCACTTCACTTAAATTAGTAATCTGTGCAGTGCCTCTTCTGCCTTGTTGATGCTATTATATAACATGAACCTTGTTGCAATATTAATAGAAGAAGCTTCACAGCCTAAAAGAAATATCTTGACATTATTCTGGGTGTAAATAGACAATCACTTTATTTTAATTTTATTTATTAAAATAATTACATGAAAAATTGTTATAATAATCTCTTCCCCTGTGTCTGCTGTGGCAGTTTTGGGGGTGGAATGTTGAGTCTTCTTCAGACAGTTGTAACATTTTATTTCCTTCTGATTTCTTAAAAGTGTTGACTCTTCCATGCAAAATGATGGATAAGTAGAGGAAGAAATTGTTTCTTATAGGTCTGGAAATGTGTTGTCTGCTACAGTCTGAGTTAAGGAACAGCAAATAGCAGTGGTTATTTTGATAGTCTCTGAATTATTGCTGCTGTRTTCTCTAGATCAATAAGTTTTCAGTTATTTTTAATATTTGCCTGCAGCTCTGCTTATACAGGTATATTATAAACCAA